GAGCACAGCCTGGGGAGCCCCAGGGCAGCCTGCAGGGTGCTGTGCTGTGCTTCAGAGATTCCATGAGAGTCCTGCCTTGGACTTTTCATTGCCTGGGGACACACAAGAAATAAAAGCCTTCATGGAATGCATAGGAGCTCCGAGAGAGCACCTAATGCACCTTCCCCTTTATCCACATTTCCCCCARACAGCCAGCGCTGGGTGCTGGGAGCACTGTGGGAAGGGCCCATCCCTTCCCGCAGGGTTCCAGCAGCTCTGTGTCCAGCCCAGCACCTTTGGATCCCAGCTTTCCAAGAGTGCCACAGACCCCTGTCCCACACCAACATCGCCCCTGCCCTGCCTCCCTACAGCACCAGAACCACTCTGGGGGCTTGGCCCTTGCTCTGTGCCTCGGTGGATATCCCCCTGCTCCCAGCCGGTGGCCCGTCACTGAAGGAGGGGATCCATTCCAGCACTTCACCCTGGWAATGCTTTTGGTGCTCTGGCTGCACACTCTGATCTGGCACCTTGGGCAGAGCAGGGCCAGTGCTGAGCTCTGTACCCTGGGGGCTCCTCCATGGCACAGGACACCCGAGCTGTGTGGCAGAGCAGCTGCTCAGAGCAGCCTGTCCTGGCCCTGGCCCTGGGGCCCGACTGTGCTGTTCCACGTGGAGACTAACACCTCGGGAAGAGGCTTTGTGGAGGTGGAGCAGAACACYGGTGGGTTCTGCCCTGGCTGGGGACAGGGAYCTGGGCTCTTCCTGCAGGGTACTGGGTCCCCCTGTTCCAGGGAAGGGGCAGTGAGAGGGTTCCAAGTACTGGCAGGTGAAAGGGCAGTGGTGGCATTGCTGGGGTACAGGACCGCAGATATCCCCAACTTGCCATTGCAGTAGGCTGCAGCCAATGCCCAGGGAACAGGAGGGGAGCATGGGAGGATGTCAGGACATGTCCCTGGCAGGGACATCACTCCTGCCATATGTCATTAGGGTGACAGCAAGGGGCTGGCAGAGGAGCTGAGATAAATATTCAGGGTTTCCGTCTCCCAGGCTCTCTAGCACAAAAGTTGGAAATTACCTTGTTTTTAATAGTGGTTTGGGTTATTTTTGCCATGAATTTTTCCCTTCTCACCCGATCCCAGATGAATGCGGGCAATGGGCAATGCAGCTCCTGGGAGGGAAGAGCATTTCGGGACAGGGCTCCCTCAAAATCCAGGTCTCCATATAGCCTGTGGCTGCGGAAGGGATGAGCTGGGGCTGCAGCTCCACGTGGCAGCGGGTTTGTGCCCTTGCCCTGGGGCTGGGCTGGGCTGGAGGATTCCTCTGAATTATTTCCAGATGGGGATTAACGCAGCAAACTGAGTTTCCTGCAGGATAGATAAACAAAGCAAAGCTCCTTGGGATGCTATTAATAAAYTCTCTGCCTGCTGCTTCTGTCCCAGATTTGGCCTGGGGTGCAGCTGTGCCCTGCCTTGCTGCCCATCCAGCCCCTTGCCTGTGGGGTRGAGTGACAAGGATTCCTCTGGAACCTTGGCTACTGGGGTGATGTCMAAATCCAGCTCCCTAAACCAGRGGTTGGTCAGAATTGAGAGAGTCCAAAGCAGTTCTGTTATTGCAGGGCYTTCAGGGCCATTCAGGGCAGTCCCAGCCCAGCCAGGGGCTGCACCCACAATGGACAATGGCTCAGGCTTTTTCACCCTTTCTCACTTTTGTCCATTTGCACATCGGGATTTGCTGAATCCTCCAATTGCAGCTGCAGCCAATGCAGTCAAAAACTCCAACTTGGCTCCCCCAATTCTCTGTTGTTTCCATCTCTTGGGGCCTGGCACAAGGAGGTGTCCTTGAGTTTGGGGCTTCAGAGGAATTGTTTTGTGTCAAAATGGGAGAGCAGGAGCTCAGCACTCTCTGTGGGGTCTGGAGTTATCCAGTGAAGAATTCCACGGGTACAGAGACATGGAAATAGGGAAACTTAAATCCTGAGGYATCGGGGTCCTAATGGGACAGGGAATGTGAGGGTGTGAGTAGTGACAGTGCCCCTGTTCCGGGCTCCACTCTGGCTGTGTGGGATGAGGGGCTGCCAGCCATGTCCCTTGGTCCCACAGTCCCCCTGAGCTCTGCCAGGGGCAGTTGCACTGGGAGGTGTCCCCTCTCCTCCCCAGCCTTCAGCTGCTGGGCTTTGGGTGGCTTTGAAGTGGAGCGGGTGTAAACAGGGTGGAGGCAGACTTTGAGCCCTCTGGAGCTGGCACTGCCTTGCCAGGGTGAGGGTAAAGCAGTTTGGGGTGGCTGCAGCCCAGCAAGCTCACCTTTGCCATGCTTGTCACCGGGGGAGTTCCTGGGTGACCCTCTGTGCACACAGATGTGTGACCCTGCCAGGGAGGAGGCTGGCCCATGGGATAATATCCCAGCCCTCCTCATTTTGGCATGGTTGGTGGGCTCCTGATAGGGGCAAACAGGGCTCGRACAAGGGCTGGCATCTGCAGGGTGGGCCATGGCTCCCAGCAGAGCCCCTCACTGAGGACCTCCAGGSATGGTGGGACAGCACACACATCAGATGGGGTAGGACCTGAAAATGATAGGATTTTGTCCCAGTTGTGTTTTGTGCCAGTAATTCAGCCACCTATAGGAGTCCTGGGCCCATAAACCCCTCTGTACCTGGCTGGGAGGCAGCAGGGCTATAGGGAATGCCCCTGGGGAGGATGGAGGCTTAGAGATGGGTCTGGATGTGCTGATTTCCAGCTCTCCAGCCTGCAGCACACACAAGCAGTTAATCCCAGGCCATGCAGAGCTGGCTGCTTACCTGGCTGGAGTTGTGCCTGCTGGAGGGAGGGACGTGGGCACAGTTCCACACCTTGCAGGGCAAGCATCATTGCAAAAATATTTGCTGAAAAAAGTGCAGCTCCACCCCGAGGAAAACCGGGTCCGGGAGCAGAGCACGATCCAGGCTGGCAGCCGGGAGGGCAGGGGAATGAAGGAGAGTGGCTCCAGGGAGCCGAGCGCCKTCTGACACCTCCAGCCAGCAGCACCGGGGGCAGCGGGCACTCCCGGGGGGCCGGGCAGGGCAGGCGGCTCTAGGSAGACGGGCTGCAGGGGAATCCAGCACAGCAGCTCAGGGTTGGCAGCCATGGGCTGCTGGAGGGTCCCCAGCCCCGTGCTGGCCCTGCTGCTRCTCCTGCGCCCCCCAGCCTGGCCAGCCTGCCCCGCTGCCTGCCGCTGCTCCCCGGGACRGGTGGACTGCGGCGAGCGTGGCCTCCGCCAGGTGCCCTGGAGCCTCTGGGCCAACACCAGCACCCTGCTGCTYGGCTACAACTTCATCACCGTGCTGGGGCCACGCTCCTTCCCTCCGCTGCCAGRGCTGCGGCTGCTCAGCCTGGCCCACAACCGCCTGGAGCTGATCCATGGCCAGGCGCTGCTGGGGCTCGGGGCGCTGCGGGAGCTGGACCTCAGCCACAACCACCTCACCGTGCTGACCCCCGAGACCTTCCTGCCCCTCACCAGCCTGACCATGCTCAACCTGGGCAGCAACAGGCTGGGGGAACTGCAGCCTGAGGTGCTGGGTGCCTTGCCCCAGCTCCAGGTGCTTCTCCTGCAGGACAACCCCTGGGTGTGCAGCTGCGGCATCCTGCCCCTCTGGCGCTGGCTCAGCCACAACAGGGAAAAAGTGCGAGGTGAGTGCCCAGAGGGCTGTGTCCCCRAGCCCCCCACCCACTCCACACTGGCTGGTCACCCTGCCAGGACTGAGCCAGGACCCAGCACCCTGGCTGAGAGCTGGGTGCTCAGCACCCTTGGCGAGGCAGTGAGGGTCTGCAGAGCCTGGCCTTAGATCATGGCAGCTCCGGTGTTTGTTTGGGTGGATACACTCCTGTGTCTTACAGTTGGTGCCCACATTTTGACCTCGGTCACGAGCAGGGAGTGCCTGGGGAGGAGGGCTGGGCACTGTCCCAGTGACAGCCACTGTCCCCAGCAGTGTCACCAGTCCAGTCCCACGGCACCTGAAGGGACCAGAGGACCCTGTGTGTCAGGGTGCACATCACTGCTGACCCAGCCAGCCCCTTCCCCAAAGCCCCCCTGGACCTGGTGCTCATCCTGCATTTCTTCCCCCACAAGCCCCAGAGAAAGGCAGCTCTGCCAGCGAGCTGAGTCCCACCACTACTGCYCTATCCTGCTTGCTTCCAGCTCAGATCTGTGACTGCACTTGTGCTGCCTGGGACCTTCTGTGGCATCTCCAGGCTGCCTGCTCACTGCTCCTCAATGGGAGAGTGTCCCTATCTGTTTGTTGGGAGCCAGGCCCTCCCCCTTGCCTGCCCATGCCATGCCATGCCATGCCATGCCATGCCATGCCATGCCATGCTATCCCATCCCAGTCTCTGGGGCTCAGGATGAGTCCTGAACCTCACAGTTCCCCTTCTTCATACCCTGGCACAGGTGCTCTTGGTGAACCTGGCTGTCCTCCTGCTGTCCTCCTGCCCTAGTGCCACCTGTCCCATGCCATCCCCCCTGCCCTTTGCACCTGCCTTTTCCAGCTGCCCCCTGTGCCCTCCAGCACCACTTTTCTCTTCCAGAGAAAAGTTTGCTCCTCTGCAGAGTTCCRGAGCAGCTGAACAAGTACCCGATCATGGCCTTTGGGGATGARTCCTTCAGGCAGTGCCACGAGACCTCGCTGTCCTCCCAGCACTACATCGCCTTCTTCATCATCGGACCCTTCTCCTTCATCGCCAGCATCTTCTTCTGCACTTTCATGGGCTCCCTCATGGTGCTGTACCACAGCCTGCGCCGCGAGTCGCTCTGCTGGAGGAGACCCCGCATCTGCAGGGTGCACTGAGCCAGCCCAGCCCAGCCCAGCCCTGGGCAAGCTGTGCTCCAGCGGCTGGCAGCCACCTGGTGCAAACACGGCCCTGTGGACCAGTGAGAGCAAYTTCTGCTCTTGGAATCGCTTTGCATTTTCTCAGAGTCCCCCTGGAAGCTGCCCCTGCCAGGGTGAGCAGCCTCCAGCTCTGAGGTCAGCTCCAGCTGACCACAACTGCTCTCAGAGCTCTGGGAAGCTCCCCCAGATCACCCTCAGATCTGCAGATCCCCTTCCTCTGGGGCATCCTGGTGATCCTTCTCCCCTTGTCGTGCCCCTGTGCTGCCCTCAGAGTGCWTTCAGGATGCCCCACACACCTCGCTGTGCCTTCAGGAGCAGCCTGGGAGCCCCTGTSTGCATCCAGGACACACCAGGCTCCTCTCAGTGCCTTTCAGGGCACCCCAGGAGTCACCATCTGCTTTTGGTGCAGCCCAGGAGCCTCTGTGTGCCTCTCAGTTTGCTCCTACTACCTCCTAGGGCTTTTTGGTACCTACAGCACCTTCTGACTGCCCTCAGTGACCCCAGCAGCCTCAGCACCTTTTTTCTGTACCCTCAGAACTCCCTGGCTTGGCTTTTCTTGCACCCAAATGCCATGTTGGTCTTCTGTGCTCTGCCAGGCACTAGTTTGCTTTTTTGTGTGCCCCAGAGCTCTGAGTGTGCCTTTTGGAGCACCGGAAGGTCACTGGGTGGTTTGGAGGACTCCAAAGCCTTTGTGGGGCTTTCAGTACACCCCAGGCCTTGCTGCCCAAGGGCAGGGCTGATTACACAATGCTCCATTTTGATAGTTTCCTTCCATTGAGTCAGAAATGCTGGTGCTGAGAAGGCTCACCCAACAACCCAGCTCTAGGGTGAGGCTGAAGGTGAGGGTGAGGGCCAGGAGAAGCCATGAGTTGACACTGATGTGGTTCTGTGGAGGAGCTGCCAAAGGAGGGTGAGGCTGCAGTGGTTTCTCCCTCAACAGCTTTTCCCCAGGCTATAACTCATGCCCAGCTGAGGTTTAGGGTTAGCTCAGTGATGGCAGTGGGGACACTTGACAGCCCAGAGCTGAGCCCTGGCTGCTGYCTCACCTCCCATCGCCCACGAAATGGCGTGGGGGCTGCCCCTGAACCTCCTGCCCTGCTGCCTCCTGCCCTTCCCTGAGGAATTGCTGCTGGAAATGCTTAGTCAGTGGGCTGGGAGATGGCCTGGAAGGATCTGGATCTGTGCTCCAGGGGAAAGCACAAGCTGAGGTGACAAAAACATCTTTCAAGGGGAAACAGTAGCCCTTTTTGGCCTGATCTCTTAGCCACTGCATGATGAGAGCCACAATGAGATGCTGTGACYACCAGCCTTGTTCACTCTGTCCCCTGCCCACACAAGAGCTGGGACCTGCCAGGGATGTGGCAGCAGTTGGTGCATCCTTTGGCACACTCTTGGCATGGGGTCAGCAATCCACACATAAATAAACCAAATGTCACCTCTGCTGTGGCTTGCTCCCATTTTTATTTTCRAGAGAGTAACCAAGCCAATGTGCTACCACATGGTGAGACTTCTCCTTGCTGCTCTGTTGTGGGGCTGGGGGGCTGCAGGGAGCTGCTGGAAGCAGTGTCTGCTCCAGTGCTCMCAGCCCTGCACCTGGAAGGGCTGCAGGGCTCCCACCAGGATTGTTATCTTGCCTTTACCAGAAGCCATCCCAGTTCTCCCAGACCCTCTCTAGACAGCATGCAGTTATTCCCAAGAAGCCCTGGGCYTCTCATTTGGAGCTAGAACATCCTGCATGGCCACCTGAACCCCGCGCCTTCTCTCAGGCCATCCCAAGGCTGAGCCCCCGTGGAGGCTGGGCTGGTGGCCTCAGCACATGGGGAGCAGGCTGTGAACACGTGATGTTCCTTCAGTTCAGCCTTGGGGCACCTTCCTGCTTTGGAGATCACTTGATGGACCTCCCTGTGGGTGGGCTGACATATGGGGGCCTCCCCAGTGCCTTCATCCCTGCAGTCTCTGTTCCCAAAGGCTGGCCCCACTGGCCAGGCCCCAGGCTGGCTCCCAGGAGATGGGGGCCCAGCATGGCAGGGGACTGTGTTGCCCAAGATGGAGGTGGGGCAGGACCAGGGGTGTGGCACTGGTGTTTGGGTGGTCCCAGGCTGCCCCATCCCCTCGCTGCAAGGCCTGTGCCACACCCTGGCTGTCCAGGCTGGCTGGCTGTCATCTAGGTACCCCAGACTGGCGGTGCCCTTTCCCTCCCAGTCTTCTCTCCAGTTTCTGGCCTTTCTCCCTGCTGATTTCTCCATCCCTTCCTGTCCCCCCAGTGTTTGCAGACCCTGCAACAGGGCTGGGTGAGGCTCTGATTTGCTACAGGGCTCCCTGCCAGCTTTGTCAGAAGTCAGAGACAGAAAGAAGCCCACAGCTCTGGAATAAACCACTTCATGATCCATTCTAGACTTTACTGAGCTCTTGCAAAAACTTGGTATTACTGTAACATTGACGTATAAAGTAGGATGGGTCTGATTTTTCAGCTGGAGCTAGATGAACTTGATGGAGCCACAGCAGTTGGTGGGATGATGCTCTCAGACCTCAGCTGCCATGTGAAAGCCCTGCCCGTGGGCTGCTGCCCACGGGGGCAGCCTGGGGCAGGGAGAAGGCAGTTCGTGCCACTGGGGCTGGGTACCACGTCGTGGGTGGACTCTCGGTGCTGGCAGCAGACGGGATGTGATGCTGCCCGTGCGCGTACAGTGGCTGCTCATCCCCAGCTGGTGCCACATGCTTCCCCAGTGCCGCGGGGTCTGCCCCGCTGTCAGCGCCCACGGGCGGGGAGGGGGCTCAGGGGCTGCCACGTGGGCTTAGGGGAGGAAGGGGTGRGGAGGGATGGCGTCGGCCTGGCTCGTTTGGTTCCTTTCCCCTGAACTGGGATCTGGTTTCCACGTCTCCGGGTTCAGGCAGACGCTAGGGCTTCAGGGCTGCCGCGGGAGGTGCTGGCAAGCTTGAACTGCAGGTGAGGGTGGCAGGGAAGCCACCAATGCTGGCCGTGGTGCCCCGACAGTGCTGCCAGGCTGGGTGGCTGCTGCAGCACCGCAGCAAGCCGCGATCGGCCAGCAGCATCTCTCCTTGCATTGCTGGTGCTGAGGCAGTGTGGAGCTGGGGTAGAGGTCAGTGCAACCATCCAGAGCCATTTTCTGTGGAGAATTCCTGGCCAGGAGAGTTGCTGTGTGAGTGCTACATGCTGGCCGTGGCCAGGTCCTGGGGATGTCTTCTGTGCAGGAGAGGTGGGAGCCGGGATCTTGGCTGGTGGCACTCTGTGGGCTCCGGAGTGCCATGGTTAGCACAGGGCTGTGGGCTGCAGGGTGGGGGCTCTCCTGCAGCAGCCGGACCACGGACAGGAACTGAGTCACAGCCACAGGCTGATGGGAGGGAAAGGAAGAGGGTCCATCCCCTGCGAGGAGCAGAGCACACATYGTCCAGCCCCTGTGGCAGGGGTGAGGGTCACTGGGCACTGCAGGAACACGTACCCAGCCTGCTGCACCAGAGGCTGGCTGCTCCAGCTGCTCAGGGCACGTCGCTGGAGTTCTCCAGGTGCTGGGAGATGTGGAGAACGTATCTGAGGGGCTGGGTGTGCTCAGAAGGCTGCAGCCTGTGAGGTTAAGCACGTGTTTGTAGTCTGGCACCAGCTCTTCCCTGCTACTATGGGAGAGCAGGTGCCGTGTGCCTGCTGCAGTCCTTTCCCCTTGCAAGGATCCAGTCAGTGGCAATCCTAATTATCGTGGCACTGTTTGGAAGCAATTATCTCTGTACAGTGAAGTCCAAACCTTGTCCTGGTCCTGCCGTGCTTCCTGGGGCACGAGCATGGCAGCAGGCCTAGGAAGGGAGGGAGATATACAATGGAGTCACTCTGTATGGATGAAGGATGCTTTCCTCCCATCTCACCCAAAAGAACCCATCAGTGTCCTTTGAAAGGCAGTCCTGGCTGTGCCTTCCTACAGTGTTGGGCAAGGACTGATGGCCCTCGGGGAGGAGGTCACACCACAGTGCTGACTGAGGGGTCGGAGAGGTTGAGCTGGCCAGTGATGTCGGTGGGGTGATACTGCTGCAACACACAAATAGACAGACAAGGAGAGAGAAGTGTTAGGCAGTTCTGGCACTTGTCCCCACTGCTGCTTGTATCCCATGTATCCCCTACAGGATCTCCCTTGGGGGTGATGCAACGCCCCGAAAGCTGCTGCTGACTGAGGTTTCCTTTCCCAGGGCAATCCACGCTCGTGCAGAGGTCATGGCAGACACTCTCCAAGCACCCCAGAGCTGGGCAGAGGGGACACCCAGGAGCGTGGTGCAGCTTCTGCGGAGCGTGGCTGCCACGTCACCCGCTGAGCCAAGCCCTCTCTGCTCTGGGAGGGCTACGAAACAAAGCCTATGACTCATCCACCCAACCCACGCCTGAACCTGTGTTTGGAGGGTCTGGCTGGGTTTTGGCACCTYTCTGGTGCCAGATCAAGCTGTGCTTTGAGGCCAGGGCATTGCACCTCCTTGCTTGAATGACCCTGCCGTGTGACTGTCCTTTCATGCAGGTGAGATGTGTGGTGTGGTTGGCTTGTGATAAAGTGTGGCGTTGATTGCTAATGTGAAAATACGGCCTGGGGTGGGGATGTGGCCTGGGTTTGGGGGTCTGAGCTCCTTGAGGATGGGGGGGCTCAGCATGGGAGGGACMATGGGAGAGACCTCCCCCGCTGCAGTCCCATCAGCAAGGGTGGGGGAGAGCAGAAATACCCATCCATGGGCAAGAAAAAAGTCCTTCCTCACCAGGCAGGAATTTACAGCTGGGCAGTTATTTCTTCCCTTCCTCCTTCCAGACTCTCTTCCTCTCCCAGCTCTACTCCCCTAACTCCAAACCCCGACCTGGAAGCCCTGTCCAGCCCTGCTGTGGGAGCGGTGACTCAGAGCATCCTGCGCTGCCCTCTGGGGTCCTGAACCGGTGTCAGGGCAGGAAAGGGTCTCTGTGGGTCTTGTGAGCCACAGCACAGACCCTCTCCAGCGACATTTTCCCAGCCCTTGCACCACCCTGCCCTGGAGGGCCTACGCTCTGAGGGGCTCCAGGGGGCTCCTCGGTGACGCATTTCACCCGCCCTGCTTTGGTCGATGGTGGCCGTGGCCTCGACGGTGCTGCCAGCAGCTCTGGCACTGTGGCTACCCTGTGTGCTGCACTCCCTGCCTCCTGCCACGGGCGGAGCCRGGGCCCCCCAAGCATGGTGTGGGCTCCTTGGGGTTGCCCTGGCCAGCCCAGCTTTGAGCCTCCCCAGGATGGGGCGGGGCCAGCATGCTCCCGTCTCTGTGGTACCATGCTGGGGACGCACTGACACCCAGGGAACCTCTSACGGGACCATTCTGTCACTTAGGGCAATGGAGCCTCCGGGAGTTCCTTGGCATGGCTTTGCTTTGCTAAGGGGCAACAGCTCGGCCATCACCTGTTGGCACAAAGAGTGGCCRAGGCCATACTGAGGTCACTCTGCTGCCCTGGGGGGAGCTTTTTGTGGGTATTCATCAGCCCACCAAAAAACACCCCTCTCTCCCAAAAACAGGTGCAGCCACCGCCTCCTYRTGAGAAATTTGTATTCTGGCTAAAYGCAAGGTTTCCATGRCAGAGCTGCCGGGAGGTGTGTGCTCATGGGATGGGGCTGGACTTGGGCAGAGAGGAGAGGTGACTGGGAAAGGGGAGAGGCTGGGTGATTCACTGGTGGGGGAGAAGGAGGAACTGGAGACACAAAAATGAATGGGCAGAAAGATCCTTTGTTAACCACCCTGCCTGATGCAAGGTGGGTGGAAGAAGCGGTGTGTGCCCGTGTGAGTGTGAGTGCCTCGGTGCACGTGTGCGTGTGGGTGCTGTGGTGGTGTAGCAGGGCAGGCTGGGGCCTTCTGGCCTCTCTGCACAGCTCTGGGCATGGGAAACACTAAAACAACCAAGCGAAATGGGCAATCTGGCCAGAAAAATTAAAATACAAGAGMATGGCTTTTGATTTGAAAGCATATCTCCTCCAATCACAGAGTTATCACAGGGTAACATTCTCATTTACTTTTTTTTGTGTAAAGTTCATGCATGCAATTTTTAATAATAAAAATGAAAATTAAAATAAAAAGGGAAAAGAAAAAAAAAAAGCAAGAAAACGGTCATATCAAAACTATGTTAAAGTAGAACCAATGCTAGAAGCACATATCAATAATTTGGGGTAAATTATGTTACAGGGATGGTGCAATAATCCCCAAACCAAACATTATAAAGCCAAGAAATTAATCAATATTAACCGTAGAAGAGACTCAAACATGTTAAGGTATGGAAGTGAAGTGAAGGCACCAAAAACTTTAAATGACAACCAGGAAGAAAATATAGACAAGAACTTAAGGTCTTTAAAAATGACTTCAACCTAACTRTGCTCATATGGTAGTCCCTGGCTGGTGGAAGATTCTCTGGAAGAATTTTGTTTGTTGTTTTGGGTTTTTTTTCAATTAAAAATTAGGATTCCAGCTAAATGCAATCTTGCTGTAGAAAATATCAACTTCCCTTTAGAAAAAAAAAAAAAGAAAAAAAGTTGTCTTTGACCTACTTTTGGTTCTTTTGGGGCCAAAAGCTAGGCTCTTTCCCAGCCAAGAAGCGTTTGGCTTTGGGACAGCTGATCCTTGACTGAAAAGGTAACCTTTTGCAAGGCAGCCCCTCGGTTCTCGCCCAGCTCTGGCACCATCCCCACCCTGGCCGGGTGGTGACGTGGGACGTGTGCCATGCTGTGCCCGGGGCTGCCCAGGGCTGGCAATGGCGGGGGCTAAGGGGCCTGTGCACCTCGATACGTGTCTGTACGCAATGTGCCGGCTCGGAGTGTCTGTGTGGTTTGTGCGTCTCACATGGCGTCTGTGGGGTTGCAGTATCGTGGGTGGCTGCGATGGATGGACACGTCAGCTCTGCCAGTGCTACTCGAGTTGCAGGAGCTGCCTATGGGGAACACATGCATCTCCTCCTGGGGCGGTGGGGATGATGTGCCGCGGAGAGGCTGTGCAGCTCGGGTGATGGTGGGCGCTAGGACGTTCAGAGTGGGGTGGAAGCTTCCCAGGGCTGTCTTGGCTCCATGGTGCCAGCCTGTCTCTCTGGCACTCCTGAGGGACCATTCTGCAGGGCTGCAGAGCAGAAT